ACAAAACATAACCAAACTCTTAAACAAAAATATCCTATTGGGGGAAGGCTGTAGGCTGTGTGTTTTCTTGCAAGGGTAAATTATTCCTGGCATTTATAAATGGTCACAAACACAATGTATTGATCTATTCAAGGAACACATGATTAATTTAAAAGGTTTATGTGAAATAAAGAAAATGGAATTATAATGAAGGTTGTTTTTCTTTTAAGAAGAAAACAGGAGAATGATTAAATGGGCACTTCTCTGAAATGAAAATAATGAAAAGAAAGCTACCCTCAGAGTCAGTTCTTGGACCAGCCTTATTGATATAATACCATGGTCAAGAGCACTGGACTTTGTATGTAGTTGGATGCTTAGCTCTGTGACCATGGGGAAAATGAATTGACTTCTCTGTGTCTTAGTTTCCTGCCAGAGTTGCTATGAGGATTTAATAAAAGAAAGTTAGTCAAATTCTTAACCCACTGTCTACACTGGAATACAGGCACAAGGTACAATTTATTTTTCCATTGTGATCATTATCATGAGCTGAAGAAAAGGACTACACAGTGAGATTTCCAACTTTGCAGGTGATAACGAAGAGCTGAGTTGATGGGAATAGACCACAGGAAGTGGGAAGGGAAGGGGCAGGTGAGTTTTGGTACAGGCAGGTGTAGAATAAAACATTGGGAGGGGAGAAGCTGACGTGTTCTCTTCATAGAAATACTGGGAAAGACCCAGAAAATGGGAGGAACCAATGGAGAGGGCTTCCTGAGACCAGAGCCCAAGGCAGCTGCTAAGCCAAGTCCCCGGGGCTAATCTTTGGCAGCAGAATGCTGGATTCAGTGAATCTCATCTGGCAGGAAAGCCTTGGGCTTCATTTTGGTGTGAGCCTTCCCATTTCCCACTGCCTCCTACTCTTTATAAATTTCTGTTTAGTTCCTTCTCTGATTTCCCTTATGGTTGTGGCTCTAGAGTAGACAGTTGTTAGAATAGAAATGTTGCCAATGTGTCTCTCAAAGAGGTCATTGTACCCTAACACTCCAATTAATTCAGGAGAGCCAGGGAGAGAGAGGCCACTGGAGCCAAGAGTGAGTGGGCCAGGAGCTGAGAAGGAGTTAATTGAGTGGAAGGAGAAAGCAAAATAGGTCGATTAAAAGCTGAATTCCCTGTGGGCACCTTGTGTTCTTTCCTTTATTTGGTTCAGGCCCTAGTTTCTGCCCTGAACAAATTCTTCCAGGCTTCTTTTCCAGATGGAGTTAAGGCACTGAATTCATTCCCATTGCCAGTTTTTCTTTTCGGAGTCTTATCTCTGTATTGGCAAACTAGCCCCTGCCCCATGTGATGAGATAAGCCAGGGATAAACATCTGGCCTGGGGGTCATTTCATGCCAGAGAGGTTACTTTGAAGGCAGTGAGAACTTGAACAGACTGAGAGGAGGGGGCATTTCAAGGCCACTGGACCAGGGAGGGAGACTGGAGAGGGAAGAGCTATCTCTCAGGGTCAGTGAGGAAAGCAGCTCACTGATCAGTTCATGTAACAGTGCAGGAGATGAAGCTAGAAAGCTAGGTTTGTTCATTAGCAGTAGGCAAGCGTTAGGTTTGAAAACAAATTTTTTTCTTAAAAAGAATAAATGATTGCCTGTTATGCCAGCCTTGTACCCCAAAAAGAAAGTAGAGAGGAGGAACCCAATGAAAGAACATTCCTTGAGCAAATAGAAAATACAGGGTATCCCCCCAAAATGTATACGCTCTTTGAATAATTATTCATTCCAATGGGTTAAATCTGAAAAGAAAGAAACATCAATTGAGCTCTTCGCTCAAATGTGTGTATAGATTTTTGGGGACGCCCTGTGGAAAAGAGACTAATTTAAATTCCAGCAAACATTAGAAATACACAAATCAATCAGGAAAAAGCATTACACAATTCAGATCATTACCAGGCTCTGGGCATCAGTGTGTGGGTGGAATGGGAAGAGAGAGTCAGACACAGAGTAAAAAGCATTTAGGTACAGGAAGGGCGGCTTAGGAGTCAGGCGTTCTGCTGAGTAGTTCCTCGGAATTCATATTCTTCAGGCCTCATAACAGATTTGAGCCCTCTGTTTATTGGTTTTAGGTGGTGAGGGTGGAAGAAGATAGGGAAGGGGAGAAAAACAATACAGAAACAGTGGATATTGAATGTGGACATATTTCACATTTGGTTTAGATGCAGATTCTCGATACCAGACCTCTGAGCCTCTCTGTCCCAGCAAGCACCTCTGTTTTGCTCTGCTCCTCCCTGGGACCTCGACCTTTCCCTCCACAGATCCTGGCCCCAGGATCCCTCTGGGATCTCCCTACAGCAAACAGACCTGTCATAGACTCAGTTTTATGGAAACAAAACAGAAGCCAAAATAGAAAGGAAGGCAGGCTCTTCCTTTCATGCTTGTTGTCTTAGTTTTAGTCTAATTTCTCTTAGTTTGTAGGCAAAGAAATGGACTAAAAATTTTGTTTGGGTTATTTTCAATATACTATCTTAAAAAAGGCTTATATCCAGCATCTATTAAAATCTCACAAGTCTATAATCAAAACATAATTGTCCTAGTTTTTGAAAAATAGACAAAAGACTTTAAAAATCGCATTTAAAAAGTAGATACAAATGGCCAATAGCATATGAAAATGTGCTCACCATCATTAGTCATCCTAAAACCATGAGATATCACTTCACATACTCCTACATTTAAATAGATTCATAATATCAAGTGATGGTAAGGATGTAGAGCAATTGGAACTTTCATACATGCCTATTGGGAATGTTCAACAAAGACCTACCCTATGACTCTACAATTGCACTCCTAGGTAACTCTCAAGAGAAAGGAATATCATGTCCACAGAGGGATTTGTGTAAGAACTTTCACATTAGCCTGATTCATTATAGCTAAACCCAGGAAGCAACCCAAAAATCCATCAGCCAGAGACTTGATAAACAAATTGTGGCACATCTATGGAATGGACAGCAGAAGCGAGGAATGAACTACTGATACACACAACCTGGATGAATCTAAAATACGTGTTTAACACAGGAAGCCAGACATAAAAGAGTATATATTGTGATTCCATTTGAAATCCAAGAATAGGCTAAGCTATGTCTGTGATATAAATCAGAAAGCGGTACCAGAGTGGGAGAGGGTGGGGCAGGAACTGACAGGAAGGAGGCACAAGTGGACTCCCTAGGGTGATGGAAAGGTTCATATTTTGCTTTTGGTGATGGCTAAATGGATGTATAACATTGTCAAAACTCTTAGAACTAATGCTTAAAATACAGGGTGGGGCAAAAGTAGGCTTACACTTGTGAGTACACAAAACGGATTTATTCTTGCATTATTATTAATTATTGTGTTATTTTCTATATGAACAACTGTAGACCTACTTTTGCCCCACCCTATATGTGTATTTTATTGTATACTAGAGGCCTGGTGCATGAAAATTCGTGCACTCAGGGATCCCTCAGCTCGACCTTGTGCCCTCTTGCAGACCAGGAGCCCTCAGGGGATGTCCAACTGATGGCTTAGGCCTACTCCCCCAGGGAATGGGCCTTAGCCATAGTCTGGTCTCCCTTGTGGGCTGATCAGGGGATAGTGCTGGGTGTAGCCAACCCCACCCCTCATCACCCCTCTGCCGCCGCCCGCTGTCCCCCTCGTTACAATTGCTGTCCCCTCCCTCTGCCCACTGGCACTTGCCTTGGCTGGCCTGGTGCTGCCTGCTCGCCAGCCCCGCCCCTCGCCAACCAGTCATTCTGGTCGATTTGTATATTAGGTTTTTATTATATAGAATAAGTTATATTTTATCTTTTTAAGTACAAGAAGAAAAACATTTATAAACCTAGTAGTCTATGTAAGCCTATTCATTTATAAATCATCTCATAAGTTATGTCATTTATCTGTCTTCTCGGTTTAATTTCTTTCTCTAGTTAGAGAATGCAGTACTTTTCAAAGATGGATACAATAAAGACCTGTTTTGCCTGGCAATCTGATCCTCAAGCTTCCCACAATAAGTAGAGACTAGGTTTGCCTGCTGAGCCCAATGGATCCCTTCATTGACCTGAAAAGATATGGGGGCATGATATGGTATTTTTACCTTTCCCCCACCTCTACGTCAACAAAGAATGAAAACCAGTGTCCCAGAGAGCAGCCCCTAGTTCCTCATTGCTTGCCTTTCCCCACCCAGTCGCATGGCCCCAACACAGAGAGAAGAGTGCCACCTCCCGCTGCCTCCAGCTGGGCTTCTCCTTCCCTTTGTCCCTGATGTTGCTGGAGCAGCAGCTCTTGGTGATGGGAGGTTATGCTGAGTGCCAGCTGCCGCGAGGCCAGCATCATGAAAACCACTAAGCTGGGCTCTGGGGTGTGTGCCTGGGCTGCCTGGGCCAGACGGTGGCTGTTGCATCCTGGATGAAGCTTTCACTTTCTCTTCTGGGAAAGGGGTG